CGATAAATAAAAGCTGATCATTGTAAGCACTCCCCCTGTCAGCAGTAAATGGTTTGATCAACCCTCTAACTGCTGCATCTGCTGGACAACTTGTTCCATTGAAAAACGACAGACGTACTGGCAGGATCACCGGGTGAAAATAAAGGAAAGAAAGCCTAAAAAAAAAGAGAACGAATGCAGCCGCCACATCTAAAAATTGGTAAACTGCAATATAACATGTTTGTCCACTAGATGGCGCCAAGTATAATAGGAATTTCCTATACAAGTGAGCTCCATCTAGTGGACAAATGCGATATTTCCATTTACAATAAAATATTTACATTCGTATTGCTTTTGGGTTTAATATGGCTTTACTGTAAACAGACTCCGCCCTGGGCTGATCGAACGTAAATCATTGATTTTAAATCGAAAATACTGCATGTGACCAGTAGATGGAGCTGACTGGTGGGGGGAATTCCTGTGATACTCAGAATGGAAGAAGTCGGATTGGAGAATCTACGGAACATTCCAGAAGTGAAGTCACATGTGACCGCTGATACCAGGTACATCCATCCCATAGTCGCCAGTATTCAGGTTTTGGCCCTTTTGCTATTCCTTTTAAAATGTCGGCCGCTATCCTCTGATTTCCAGAAAAGACGTGCCGTCCGTTTTGTTCCGAATCGAAATTCGGACTAATTTTTAGTTATTTGGAGATTCAAATGTTGCCAAATCCCGCATTACAATAGCAACGAGTTTAAAGGAATCTGAAATTCGGGCAAAATTCGAATCGATTCAAATTCCAAAAACACATTTTGGAAACCAATTTGAATTTGATCACAAGAATAGATTACAATAGAACAGGACAGAAAATAGAAATAAAGAAATAGAAAACAATAGAATAGAGTACAAAATAAAAGAATAGAATAGAAATGATTGGGGGGGGGGGGGGAGAACAGAATACAGTAGATAATATTAGTAAGAGTAAAACAGAACAAAATAGAATAGAAAATAAAGGAATAGAAAAGAACAGAATCCATTAAAATAGAATAGAAAGATTAGAATAGAAAATCAGAGAAAAGAATAGAAAAGATTAGAATAAAGAGTCAAAGAATAAATAGAATCAATTAGAACAGAATAGAAAAGATTAAACAGAAAAGAGAATAGAATAGAATCCATTAGAATAGAATAGATAAGATTAGAATAAAAAAAAATCAAATAGAATAGAAAATAATCCATTAGAATATAATAGAAAAGATTAGATAAAATTCAAGAAATAGAATAGAAAAAAATCAATCAATTAGAACAGAAAAAAAATATTAGAATAGAAAAAAATCAAGAATAGAATAGAAAAATCAAAGAATCCATTAGAATAAAAATTTTAGAATAAAAAAAATCAAAGAATAGCACAAATAATAAAAGAAATAGAAAATAATCAATTAGAATAGAATAGAATAAGATTAGAATATAAAAAAAAAAATCAAATAATAGAATATAAAAAATCAAAGAATAAATAGAAAAGATTGGAATAGAAAATCAAATACAGAATAGAAAAGAAATAAATCAATTAGAATAATAAAAGATAAAGAAAGAAAAAAATATCAAAGAAAAGAATAAATTATAGAATAAAAATTTTAGAATAAAAAAAAATCAAAGAATAACAAAAATAATAGAATATAAAATAATCCATTAGAATAGAATAGAAAGATTAGAATACAAATCAAAAAGAAGAAAAGATTAGAATAAAAAAAAAAAAATAAAGAATAGAAAAAAAAAAAAAAAGAAAAGAAAAAAAAAAAAAAAAAAAATAAAATAGAAAAATTAGAACCTGTATAAATAGAAAAAAAAAAAGAAAAAAAATTTAAAAAAAAATAATGGAATAGATTTAGAATCGAATAGAAAATCAAAGAAAGAACAGAATAGAAAGAATAGGTAAGATTAGAATAAAAAAAAATCAAAGAATAGAAAAAAAAACCATTAGAATATAATAGAAAAAATTAGAACAGAAAATTAGGGAAAATAATGGAATCATTTAGAATCGAATAGAAAATCAAAGAATAGAATATAATCCATTAGAATAGAATAGATAAAATTAGAATAAAAAAAAAAAATCAAATAGTAGAATAGAAAATAATCCATTAGAATATAATAGAAAAGATTAGACTAGAAAAATCAGAGAATAGAATAGAAAAGATTAGAATAGAAAATCAGAGAATAGAATAGAAAAGAAATGAATCAATTAGAACAGAATAGAAAAGTTTAGAATAGAAAAAAAAAGAAAGAAAATAAAGAATAGAATAGAATAGAATAAAAAATAATCCATTAGAATAGAATAGATAAGATTAGAATAAAAAAAAATCAAATCAAATAGAATAGAATAGAAAATAATCAATTAGAGTAGAATAGAAAAGATTAGAGTAGAAAACATCAAAGAATAGAATAGAAAATCAAATCGGCTGCATTCGGCTTCTCTTGTAGGACCGTACTTGTAATACAAATATAGATCTGATGAAGGACTTGAACCCACCACTCAGGAGGGGTTATTATTCTGTAGTGCCCCTCTAGTTGGCCAGGGGGAGCTAGATAGGATTTAGGTTAGAGGCTGGATTGCAGCCTGGGATGAGTCATCCAGGTAACTTTAGGTCAGGGCTGGTCAGTTCCCAGATACCTCCCCCTGCTCTAGAAGCTTGAGAAGTTTCTAGAAGGCAGTGGGTGGGGGTGAGGAGGGGCTGATCTGCATGTGTGAGGGATCTTGACCAACCCCCAAGCAGGAGGCTTGGTATGGGGTCAGGACAGCCCCCACGTATGATTGAGCCTGTTCAGCAGGAAGTGGTCTTTCAATGTCGGGTGGAAGATGGAGTGAGAGACTGAAGTGTGGAGCCCGGGAGGGGGTTACCTACAGGCAGGAGCTTGAAAAGGGGACCTTCGCTGTACCACCGTCTACCAAGAGGGACAGTCTGAGCCGTAGGGAAGGAGCCAGCCCAGCAGAAGGCCTGAAGGCAGCCACCAACCCATAAAGCTAACAGGACAGGATAGTACCCCCCCGGGCCGGGAAAAGAGGAGAGGGCAGTCAGGTGGAGAACCCAACAAGCTCCTCAGCTAGGACTGTTTGACTTTGGCACCTTCTGGATCCCCTTGCCCAGGGAATGCCCTCAGTGCAGCTGTGGAGGTTTCGCCTGGGGTCTGAGGAGGTACACCAGAGAGCTGGAATGCTCTCAGAGATTTTTCTTTCTTGTCCATAGACTTGTAGACAGTTCATAAGGAGATTGCTCTCGCAGTTCACAGTTCCTCGGGCATCCCATGCATCCCTCAACCCCATCCAAGTTCAAAACCCCTTAATAAAATCACAAAACCAAGCTCGAGGACTGTTTACTGTCTCCAGTGTGCAACGTGTGGGAGAAAATGCGTGTTGCCTGGTTGCGCAGAACATACCCAAGGACTGGTTACTGTGTCCATTGTGCCTGGCTGTGCAGAACTATAGGGGGCCCAAAACTCCTAAGGGGGCGGTGCCACAATTACTTTAACATCTGGAGGTATCAATTTCCAGGCCCGGCATTGATGGGGATGAGTACTGAAAATCCAGGACTGGGTTCGAAGCTGCGCCATTAGCAGCAAACCATGGTAGTCAGGTCTACTCACCCGAAAATTCAGGGAGCCTCCATGTTTTTATAACCTCTCTCTCACCTCCTGACCCTGCATCTCCGTGATTCCTCTCAATCACCAAAGACTGGACCCATCTCTAGAGGAGTGTAGGGCCCTTTAACTGCGGGCTCCCACCAAGATGGTTGCTGGACAGTTGTTCCTGTCAATCTTTCTTGTTTGCTTGATTTAAGGACCGATGGGTGGAGTTGGGTTCCTCCAGTTGGGTCAGCCAGGGGAGCAATTTGAGAAGGTAGAAGATAGTAGCAGCAGACAGCCACTAGGATCCCGTTTACTTGATTTAAGGACCGGTGGGTGGAGTTGGGTTCCTCCAGTTGGGTCAGCCAGGGGAGCAATTTGAGAAGGTAGAAGATAGTAGCAGCAGACAGCCACTAGGATCCTGTTTACTTGATTTAAGGACCGATGGGTGGAGTTGGGTTCCTCCAGTTGGGTCAGCCAGGGGAGCAATTTGAGAAGGTAGAAGATAGTAGCAGCAGACAGTCACTAGGATCCCGTTTACTTGATTTAAGGACCGATGGGTGGAGTTGGGTTCCTCCAGTTGGGTCAGCCAGGGGAGCAATTTGAGAAGGTAGAAGATAGTAGCAGCAGACAGTCACTAGGATCCTGCACTCAGCTCTGTACTCGCCATGTCCCTGGGCACTTGGATGCCTCCTTCCAATACCAGCCAGACGTTTCTCCTGTGAGCTCTCCAGACCAGGTCCTCGGTGAAATCCCTTCATCAACTCCATAGACTTCAGGAACATAGGTCCCACCACCAGCTCTAGCATAGCTGGGACCTCGATCAGCACATGCAAACCTTCAGCTGCACTGCTCAGAAGGGCAGCAGCCCTTCAGGTTGGGAACTGCTCCTCCTGGACAAGAACAGGACTGCCTTGGGCCCCAGACTAATTATGCACTCCCCAGCCACCTACCTGGCTGAGACTAAGAAATATTCAGGCTGTGGAGATGCCTCCTCCAGCCCTCTATATTCTGGTGTAGATAGCTCTTTGTTCTTCTCTTTTTAGTAGCAACCTGGGGATGAGTCAGCCTGGGAGTGAGGCAGGAGTTCACATCAAGACAGGCTGGGAAAAGTTCTAAACCCTTTAACCACTTCCAGTCCGGACACTTTCCCCCCCTTCCAGTCCGGACACTTTCCCCCCCTTCCAGTCCGGACACTTTCCCCCCCTTCCAGTCCGGACACTTGTCCCCTGAGCCTCCCCCCCTTCCAGTCCGGACACTTTCACCCCCCTTCCAGTCCGGACACTTTCCCCCCCTTCCAGTCCGGACACTTTCCCCCCCTTCCAGTCCGGACACTTTCCCCCCCTTCCAGTCTGGACACTTTCCCCCCCCCCCCTTCCAGTCCGGACACTTCCCCCCCCCTTCCAGTCCGGACACTTTCCCCCCCTTCCAGTCTGGACACTTTCCCCCCCTTCCAGTCCAGACACTTTCACCCCCTTCCAGTCTGAACACTTTCCCCCCCTTCCAGTCCGGACACTTTCCCCCCCTTCCAGTCCGGACACTTTCACCCCCCTTCCAGTCCGGACACTTTCCCCCCCTTCCAGTCCGGACACTTTCCCCCCCTTCCAGTCCGGACACTTTCCCCCCTTCCAGTCTGGACACTTTCACCCCCCCCTTCCAGTCCGGACACTTTCACCCTTCCAGTCCGGACACTTTCCCCCCCCTTCCAGTCCGGACACTTTCACCTCCTTCCAGTCCGGACACTTTCACCCCCTTCCAGTCCGGACACTTTCCCCCCTTCCAGTCTGGACACTTTCACCCCCCTTCCAGTCCGGACACTTTCACCCTTCCAGTCCGGACACTTTCCCCCCCTTCCAGTCCGGACACTTTCACCTCCTTCCAGTCCGGACACTTTCCCCCCCTTCCAGTCCGGACACTTTCACCTCCTTCCAGTCCAGACACTTTTTTCCCCTTCCAGTCCGGACACTTTCACCCCCTTCCAGTCCGGACACTTTCACCCCCTTCCAGTCCAGACACTTTCCCCCCCTTCCAGTCCGGACACTTTCCCCCCCTTCCAGTCCGGACACTTTCCCCCCCTTCCAGTCCGGACACTTTCACCCCCTTCCAGTCCGGACACTTTCACCTCCTTCCAGTCCAGACACTTTTTTCCCCTTCCAGTCCGGACACTTTCACCTCCTTCCAGTCCGGACACTTTCCCCCCCTTTCCAGTCCGGACACTTTCACCCCCTTCCAGTCCGGACACTTTCACCCCCTTCCAGTCCGGACACTTTCACCCCCTTCCAGTCCGGACACTTTCACCTCCTTCCAGTCCAGACACTTTCCCCCCTTCCAGTCCGGACACTTTCCCCCCTTCCAGTCCGGACACTTTCCCCCCCTTCCAGTCCAGACACTTTCCCCCCCTTCCAGTCCAGACACTTTCCCCCCTTCCTGTCCAGGGCAATTTTCAGCTTTCAGCGCTATCACACTTTGAATGACAATTGCGCGGTCATGCAACACTGTACTCATATGACATTTTTTAGCATTTTTTTGAGACAGATAAAGCTTTATTTTGGTGATATTTATTCACCGCTGGGATTTAAATTTTTTTTGGTATGTAAATGAAAAAGTCAAAAAATTTTGAAAAAAAGTGTTTTTCTTATAAAATTTTGCAAATAAATAATCTTTCATCGTAAATCTTAGCCAAAGTTTATTCTGTTATCTGTTTAGTAAAAAAAAAAAATAACCCAAATTAGTTTATAACCAAAAATTATAATTTTTTTAAATTTTGTTTTACATTTTTATATTTTTATTTATGTTTTTTTTTTTTTTTTTTTTTACACATACTGTCACCCTAGCAGTAGTATCACCATGGTGACACTGTACTACTTGTGGGGGGTGATGAAGATTTTTTTTTTTTTTACAATGATTGCTTTTACACCCATAAAAGCTGCAAAAGCAATCATTTCTCCTTCTCTCTGGCTGCATTCTTGCATCAATTGAGAAATACTGTGTGAGCTGTTTGGTCACAGCTTGTCACATGGTACAAGGCTGTTGTGGATGGCCCTGTACCATGTGATCTCTGTGATCATTCACAGATTTCACACGTAGTAAAATGATGTCAGGAAGTGACATCTTGCTTTCTACTCTGCATGTGATCACTGATTGGCCAATCAGTGCATCATCGAGACCTCACACAGAGGTCCCGTACAACGATCGGTGTTCCACTGTGTCCGGAGGACACAGCGGGCACCGGATCGCGGTGCTGCGCGCTCCCCACAGCTAGTGATTGGTCACAGCTTGTCACATGGTACAAGGCTGTTGTGGATGGCCCTGTACCATTGTGATCTCTGTGATCATTCACAGATTTCACACGTAGTAAGCAATGATGTCAGGAAGTGACATCTTGCTTTCTACTCTGCATGTGATCACTGATTGGCCAATCAGTGATCACATCATCGAGGACCTCACACAGAGGTCCCGTACAACGATCGGTGTTCCACTGTGTCCGGAGGACACAGCGGGCACCGGATCGCGGTGCTGCGCGCTCCCCACAGCTAGAAATGGCGGGTGCCCTTTATGAACGGCAACCCGCCCCTGCACTGCCACCGTCCGGCCCGTTTATAAACAGTTGTTCTCTGTGGTGCCTTTTCCTGCACAATTGAGTTTTTTTTAAGTTTGAGCATTTTTGGAGCTTCAAGCTACAAGTCGCTCCAGTGTGAATCCAGCCTAAGAGGGTGGAGCTACACTGGAATCCTCCAGAAGGCAGGGACCCATTGGAACTGTACAACACTCTGAGGACGAACTTCTCCGCACAAATGGAGAAAAAGAAAAAATCAGCAACCGGGAGCACCGACTCCCATTTGGTGATCCTCTTCAGACCTCAGATGAAAATTTCCTGTCCTGAAGGAGCTCCTGAGGAATGGATTCCAAGATCTACAGTGAAGTAGTCCCGGTCAGAACTAGTTGGGTCTTGCACCTGACCACCCTCTCCCTTTATCTGGCCCCGAGGGTGTAGAAGTGCCCATACTGTCCTGTTCCTGTAGCTTGCAGCTGCTTTCAGGCCTCACACTGGGCCGGCTCCTTCCCTGCTGACCGGATGTCCTCCCTAGAAGGCTGTGTGACAGTGGAGATTCTTTTGTCCAGGTTCAGCCTGTAGGCAAACCCCCTCTCCTCCGGGGCCCCCTCCCAGGCTCTACGCCAGCTCCTTCCTCACTCCAGCCTCTCATCCAAAGTCAGTAAACCAGTCCTTGAGCTGGATTTGAGTTGTTTTTATTCAGGGGTTACCAACTTGGATGGGGTCTAGGTGGGTATATATGGGACGCCCAATGGAACTGTACAACTTTGAGGATGAACTTCTCCACATAAATCATAAATGGAAAAAAAAAATCAGCAACCAGTCTAGTATGGAGCACCAAGTCCCCTTTGGTGATCCTCTTCAGACCCCAGATTAAAATTTCCTGTCCTGAAGGAGTTCCTGAGGAATGGATTCCAAGATCTACAGTGAAGTAGTCCCGTTCAGAACTAGTTGGGTCTTGCACCTGACCACCCTCTCCCCTTATCTGGCCCCGAGGGTGTAGAAGTGCCCATACTGTCCTGTTCCTGTAGCTTGCAGCTGCTTTCAGGCCTCACACTGGGCCGGCTCCTTCCCTGCTGACCGGATGTCCTCCCTAGAAGGCTGTGTGACAGTGGAGATTCTTTTGTCCAGGTTCAGCCTGTAGGCAAACCCCCTCTCCTCCGGGGCCCCCTCCCAGGCTCTACGCCAGCTCCTTCCTCACTCCAGCCTCTCATCCAAAAGTCAGTAAACCAGTCCTTGAGCTGGATTTGAGTTGTTTTTATTCAGGGGTTACCAACTTGGATGGGGTCTAGGTGGGTATATATGGGACGCCCAATGGAACTGTACAACTTTGAGGATGAACTTCTCCACATAAATCATAAATGGAAAAAAAAATCAGCAACCAGTCTAGTATGGAGCACCGAGTCCCCTTTGGTGATCCTCTTCAGACCCCAGATTAAATTTTCCTGTCCTGAAGGAGTTCCTGAGGAATGGATTCCAAGATCTACAGTGAAGTAGTCCCAGTCAGAACTAGTTGGGTCTTGCACCTGACCACCCTCTCCCCTTATCTGGCCCGAGGGTGTAGAAGTGCCCATGCTGTCCTGTTCCTGTAGCTTGCAGCTGCTTTCAGGCCTTACACTGGGCCGGCTCCTTCCCTGCTGACGGGATGTCCTCCTTGGTAGGCTGTGTGACTGTGGAGATTCTTTTGTCCAGGTTCAGCCTGTAGGCAGACCCACCTCTCCTCTGGGGCCCCCTCCCAGGCTATACGCCAGCTCCTTCCTCACGCCATCTTCTCATCCAAAGTCAGTAAACCAGTCCTTGAGCTGGATTTGAGTTGTTTTTATTCAGGGGTTACCAACTTGGATGGGGTCTAGGTGGGTATATATGGGACACGCCAATGGAACTGTACAACTTTGAGGACGAACTTCTCCGCACAAATGGAAAAAAAAAAAAATCAGCAACCAGTCTAGTATGGAGCACCGAGTCCCCTTTGGTGGTCCTCTTCAGACCTCAGATGAAAATTTCCTCATCCAACCAGCTGTCCTGAAGGAGTACTTGAGCAATGGATTCCAAGATCTACAATGAAGTAGTCCAACAACCCTTGCTGATTGGGCTCTCTCATACTTAATGGTTGTCCTAGCACCATGCCAGGCCTCCTGCCTGGGGATTGGCCAGGTTCCCTCAAACATGCAAATCCAGGCCTCCTCCCTACCTCTGCCCCTCTTGTAGAAGTGCCAGCAGCTTCTAGAAGGGTGGGAGGGCTCCAGAAGTCCTGACCTGTAAAGCCTCTCAGCCTGACCTGAGGTGACCTCACTGCCTGAACAAGAAATGACGTGATGTCCTACAGAAACCATTCACAGTGTACTAAGAACGTAGATTGTGGCCCCATTTGAGGACACTGAAGCCAACAGAGTGCGCTGGTCAGAAGAATTGTCCCTCATATCGCTGGTCAGCGACTGCAAGGATCAGTTCTATCATTGGTGTCAGTGGGCTTCACAATAAACCATAAAAGATATAGGAGCGACACCTTGGGGGGATTGAAGGGTCTCTATATGAGCCACGTGCTGCCCACCTTGGAGGGACCGAGAAGAAAAACGCGGCTCGTGTATCGCGTCACCCACTTTGGACTTATGGGTGTGGCCAGTAAAGCGGGGGTGGGTCTTAGCTTTGCTATGCTTTGTACGAAACAAGGGATGCCGAAGAGATGGTGGAAGCAGAAGAAGCCCCATTGGTGGGGCCAGAAGAACTCTTTCTTTTATCTTGAGGCCTCAGTCCACCCGCGGTTCTAGGAGCAATGCTGCAGAACATCGCATCCTCCCAGTGGCCCATGATACACCGGTCCTCGGTGACTGCTGTCCACCATCCCGATCGCTCCGCCATGACACCATCACTGCCCCTGCCCCAGAACCAGCTGCTTTCCTCCCTCCCCGATAACGGCCTCTGAGCAGGCAAGTCCCCACCCGGGGAAAGAAGCACATCGGCCTCAGCTGGCCTCACCAGAGCCACCCGACCCAACCCACCCAATCGCTCAGAACTTTGCAGACCTTCGGCGCCTGTAGAATGTCCTGAATGAACCTATTGTACAGGTCTCGGTGTCCCTGTTCCAGGAAGTCGAATATTCCCTATTACACCCGTACATGGGCTGGTATACTATACTTGGGGTCTCCAAACTGCGAACCAGGGGCCAGATACAGATCTGTGCTTGCCTCTATATGGCCCTTGGGGCACTATTCCTCCGACACCATAAATAGGGCACCATTCCTCCACTGTGACCAAAGATGGTCCACCATTCCTCCCACTGTGACCAAAGATGGTCCACCATTCCTCCCACTGACACCAAAGATGGTCCACCATTCCTCCCACTGACACCAAAGATGGTCCACCATTCCTCCCACTGACACCAAAGATGGGGCACCATTCCTCCCACTGTGACCAAAGATGGTCCACCATTCCTCCCACTGTGACCAAAGATGGTCCACCATTCCTCCCACTGACACCAAAGATGGTCCACCATTCCTTCCACTGACATCAATAAGGGAGCACCATTCCTCCCACTGACACCATCAATGAGGCACTATTTCTTCAA